CAAAATATTATTTATTATTATTATTATGGAGGCAGCAGGTTATTGCTGCCTCCATAACCTTCTATTCAAACTCTGTTCCACCATACCAACCACACATTTTTGTTCCCCCACCACATTTAATTTTTCAGCATCTCTTCAGGGTTTAGCGCTCAGCCTCTGAGAAGTTCACTTGAACATTGCTGCTTAGGATCCCCAGCACTGAAGGATACAGTTCAGAGCATTGTTCTATCAAACTATCAGCAGCTCCTCAATGAGTGAAGTGTGGAACATTGCTACTAGGTGACAGATGCTAGCTAACATTACAACTGCATCATAAGCCATGTGAGTGCAGAAGTGGAAAAGGAGAGACCTTCACAGCACTTTCCCCTTCCCAAACCTGCTTCCCCTATTTCAGTACAAATACTTCTCCATCCACATACATGCACACACAGGGCAATGTAATTTCAAACGGTAATAAAGTATTTTAATCAAGATTGACACTTCAACAGCATTACACAGAAAGACAACTAAATATATTACATATTGCAAAAGCTAATACAATATTTTAAAACTAAAACGAAACAGAAAACAATTTATCTGACTATAAGATTTCACAAGAATTACTGAATCCTATTGCTAATTCTGACACTAATCTGTTGTGAGACCATGTTCCTTTTGTGCCAGACCACCTACCGTAAAATGGGATAATACCTATGTTGCAAGGGATTAGAATGCTAAGGTTTTACAGTACTGTGAAGTTTTATTCCCATTTATAAACACTGTAAGGTGCTTGAAATTATCTTTGTCAGATAATAACATCTGAAAAATAGTATCTTGAAAAAGAAAAACATCAGAAAAATAGCATCTTGAAAAACAGTAACTTAAATCTTATTTGAAAATTACTGAGTATCCAGAAACAAACCTACCTTTCTGCTGTAGGGATTACTAATTACCAGATTGGTGTCATCTGAACCAGATAAAATATATTCTCCTGTATCATTCCAGCAAATTGTATTCACCTGCATGAATTAACAAAAATTAGTTTAGACTTACATTAATTCAAATTTCAGAATATTAAAACATCAATACTCATCCAACACGACAGAAATAGTAGTTAACAAATTCAATTGAAATTATCTAAATTTCTAAGCAGCTAGCACAAAAAAAATAATTGTGTTTTTAAATCAAATTGATAAGGGAATCACCTGCTTCACCTATGGCATCTCAATTACTTCCTCTGCTCCTGAAGAGTTCATCAGGTAAATTAAGCCTTCCCACAAAGGCCTCAGTAGCCACAATTTTATACATTCGGGTGCTATAAGGTACCAAATCTACTCCATAGAGTTCTCCGAATTTGAACTGGAGAGCATCACAATGCTCTCATTATTGTATCTTCAGCATATCCAAATTCTGACCATCCATTGCTTTGTATACTTTTCAGTGACCACACCATCTCAGGGATCATATGAAAAGCACTGCAGAATCCATCCCAGATCCCTTTTGAGAAGTGTGAGTATGCAGAATCTTACAATGAAGTACATAATTGTATCGGGAGAACTTTAATATATTTCCTTATCAATTCTCCTTTTCACAAGACTGTGTTTAATAATGTGACAATGAAATAAAGCTGTAAAAGCAATTAAAATCCAGGAATCTCAGAAAGTATCCTCAGAGTAACCTGTCTTCAAGCAGCAACTCATGCACAAGCACCAAAGACTGCATGCGTGACCATTATCATTTCAAGTAGCCTCTAAAATAGCCTTAGGTGTCAAACTGCAGCCATCAACATCTTCTGTTGGCTATATTCTGCTGGCAGAATAACTGCCTTAGTGTGATCTATTAGAGTGGACTATATAATTAGTAAAAAACACCCACTTCATTCTAAATCCTTTTCTTATGCTTTCTTTTTATTCAAAAGTCTCACTCTGAGTTCGAAAAGCAAAAATCTTTTTGTTTAAAATAAATATACCCATTTTAGTTACCATTTTAATCACAAGCTTAGTTGGGGTTTTTAGTTAGGCAAAGTTGCAAAATTTAACTGTTTCAGATGGATCACATGGGCAACAACTTGACATTCATTGAGGAGCTTTGAATCAACTTTTGCCACTCAAAAAAAAATATCTAGAGAGATCTTTGTGTTACAACAGACATGCCTATGGCAGAGTTAACTCAATGCTCAGCAGCAGTCAAATAACATTAGGAATCATTGGGAAAAGCACGGAAAAAGCAAACATCATTCTGTCAGTGTATACATCCATGCATGGCAAATCTGCGTCTTCCACAGTGCAGTTTTGATTCATATCCCACTCCCGTATTGTCCATTTCTATTACTGCCCATTTGAAAAGAGAAATTAGGAAAAAAAATTACTAGGGTGATCATAGGTATCTAATACTTTTTATTGCAAGAAGCAATTAATTTGTACTACTCTGGGGAGGGGATATGACAGAAGCTTATGAAATCATGAATGACATAGAAAAAGAAAGAAATTATTTTCTGTGGATTTTTACAGTACAGGAAATGGAAGGCCTTCAATGAAACCATCACATGACACACATGGCATTTTGTTAAAACTGGAATTCATTGTCATGGGGATATCCTAAACACCAGAAGTGGAAGAATATACATATTCATCAGAGAAAAACGATTAGAAACAAAGATGCAACTTTCACCTCCATCTGTCCATGAAAGTATGTGTTCTCTAGAATACCCTTCAAGTACTGCCTGCTTGTCCTGTCGCAACTTTCCTCAAAAATCAGTACTGGCCACTCTCAGGGCCAAGTTATCAGGCTTGACTGAGCATTGGTATGACCTTGCACGGCTACTCTTATGATTTTATAAACCTGGCTGTCCATCACTAAGAACCACGCATTGAACTAGCCCCTAGATCCATCTATCATTGAAGCAACCTGCCCTGACAACCACTGTACTTTAAAAATGTTGTCAAACATAGCACAGTACTACAGCTAGGGCAAACACAAAACCCATGAGTGTTCATTTTCATCTACATTTCCTTTCAAGCAGAAAAATACTATCATTGCCCTAAAGAAACCAAAATGCTAATACAAGTGCATAAGAATAGAAACAAGAACAAAACACTGAAAAAACAAGAAAGCTGACAAAAATTAAAAACTACGATGTGCAAAAGAAGAGCTAGCACAAAAATTAAACAAATTGAGGGGGGTTGGGCATATGTGTCCAAAAACAAAATCTGAAGGACAGGAAAGCAGAGAAAGCACTGAAGATGCAAAGGGGAAACATGATTATCTAAATTGCAGCATCACAAGCCTAACAGCAGACATCAACCATTCTCCTTCTAAATTCCAACTTCATTGCACTGATTGCCTCAGGGTTCAGCAATTTCAATGCACCCTACCCAGGCCAAAGTTGGTTCAGAAAAAATCCTGAAGTGAGATGACATAACCAAATGTGTGCTAGAGGCCTATAACTAAACAGACTTTTTATTCAGTACCAGGTCACCTTCCCAACATTACTGTCAAAAAAATGACAAAATCTTTCAGTGGAATAAGCTTGGGTGTTTGGGGTTTTTTTTTCCCAGAAAACACCAACTTTCTAGTAAGTGATCAGTCAATACACTACATTTCTCGGTGTTTAGTACAACCTATTGACCGACAGTGAATAATTCTAATAAATATGCATATGGATCACTAAAACCAGATGCCTGATAAAAGCAGATTAAAAAAAAAGTTATCATGTCTCATTCCATGGTAGCAAACCCACGATTAAAATATACTGTAAAATAAAGACTAGCTAGAAAATCGGTTTGTATTTCAAAACCATGTATAAAAGCTACATATTTACTACCTTCCCAGCCACTCAACACTCAATTAAAAGCGTAATGTAACAGTTAGTGCACCAAGGGTTTGAAATTCTTGGGAAAAAGGTGTTAGAGCCAAAAGAATGCATTGAACACAAATGACAAACTACTAACAAGATGAGAAAAGTCAAAAGGGTGTGTAATTAGCTTTTTTCTATTAAGTATTCCACACTATCAACTGTATCAATTTTATTTGCCACTGAACACACATTTGCCACTGCAACTCAAGCAGCAGGCACTTTTGATTCATTAGTCAAATAGTCAAAAATAAATTTACTATCTCTGTGTTTTCCCCAAAAACAATGCAGGAGGCAGTACAGCCAATCCCCCAAAAAACTAAAAAAGCAAACTCCTCACCTCTATGCCATGTAACAGTAGAATTAACTCTTTTGTGAATGGGATAGATTAACAGAATACAAAAAATAGAAGAAAGGAGATAAAAATTACTGTAGCTATTCAGAATATCAGAAAGATCTTCCAAGCAAGAAAGGGGGTAGAAAAGGCACTACTTTTTATCTACAGAGGAAAAGGTAAAAACTGCATGTTCTAACAATATGCAAACAAACTTCCTATCCTAATTTAAGCATAGTTTTGAGGATTACATCTAAAAATTATTTGCTCACAACTGCCATCCTGAAGATGTTATGCCACACGGGATGCTTGTTTGTTACTGAATTGAATGCCTATACATAGAAATGAGAAACTATTCCTCCAAGTGATCTGCTTTCCTTTATTTTACAAGGTAGTATTTGCTCATGTCAAAGGCTCCATCTGCCTATGCATTCTGCAGTTCTATCTTCCTCAGCTTTCACAGGACAAGAACTGGAAGAAAATAAGTGATATTTTTACTCCAATTCAATATGGTTTAGCGTTGTTTTCTCCTCTACTTTCCTCACACTTCATCACTGCTGGTCCAAACTGATTCTCCTTCAACATTTCTCCTTTGGATTTAGCCACTTCATACCAAGAGCATCTCACCTAACTATATATTTCCTCATCATCTTAAGTTCCCTTTAGAGTTAATATGGAAAATGGCAATTTCTGGCATACATATGACCTCACTCTGAATTTGATAATGTGAATCTTGTTGAAAGAGGCAAATCATACCCTGGAAGGCTGATAAGGTTACAAGCAGACCTCAATGACTCGGTAGACTAATTCAATTATTTCACATACTACTGCTAGAAACTGTGTCTTCAAACAAAGTGGGAAATCGCACTGTTTCAAAGACAATGGTACCTAAACTTTGAGATGAAATTACTCATCTCTCAAACAAAAAGGTGCGATAGTAATATTACTGCTACAAGAGGATGTATACTTGAAGTAATTCATAGAACTATTCCCTTCTTCAAAGATATTGTATCTGAGTATGATTATACATACAGTCATATATCCCACAGGATCTCTCTGTTGTATAACACAGATCAAATGGTAGTTAAGAAGTTGGACTTTACTTTTATCCTCAATTAGAAAAAAAATTTCTTGCCTTAAGTATGTTGTCCACCGTGTCCAATTACACAGCATGCTTTATATAGAAAATACAAGTCACAACTTATTCCACAGAAGAATGCAAATGTTCTTTAAAAAAAACAACCCAAAACATCAACCAAAAAAGCCAAAACGAACCCCCACCCTCCAAAAAACCCCAACCATCCCCCCCAAAAAATAAATCCAGAAACACCCTTAATAAGACAACTATGGCATTCATTCCTCATATCTGAAATAATGCATGCTGATTTAGCAATTGTGGAAGGAAAGAAATAAGTCTAATATGATCATTTACCATTGATGGTATAAGCATTTTAATCAGTAAGGGCATTGTAATTTCATTTACTCTTATTTCACAGATTTTTTTTTAAAGCAAGTAGTAAGAAATTGTACTGAACGGTTGTTAGCCATGAAAGATTATTCCCTGCGAAAAACCACACAGTACATGAGGTAAGAACTTCTGATACCCCAGTTTTTAAAGGTGGATAGTTCTGAGCAAATTTAATTTCTAAAGACATTTTTCAAATTGCAGTAGTATTTTAAACACCTGCATATAATGCTGGAAGTTCACAATTAAAACATTTTACACCCAGTAAAACAATTAAGATAGGTCACATGTTAAAGCATACTTTAAAAATCAATTCAAAATGAATTTTCAAATACATATCCACCAGGTAGATCCAAGCAACACCAAATAGCCAACGCCAAATTTGCAATTTCTGTCATAAGACACAAAGATAGTCAATTAAAATAGAGATCAGTCACTCCATTTTTAACAAGTAGTGAAGAAATACTATCTTCCTGTCCCCTGTTTTATGGGCAAAAATGATTACTTTTACAAGAAAGCAAAGAAAAACATAATTAAAAAACCCCAATCAACTTCAGGAAAAGAAACTTGAAAAATTTCATCTTAAGTATATTTGAGGAGATTAAATACTCCTAAAGAGAACTTCCAAAATAAAAATCACTGTTACAATCTTGAATAAGAAAACCTGATGAATAACTTTCTACACGTAGAATTACAGAATGGTTTGGGTTGGAAGAGACCTTACATTATTGTTCTTATAATGTTTCTTGAAAAAACCATGGGAAATGAATGCTTTTTTTAAGTCAACACCATCTGTACCAGAACATTAAACTTACAATGGTAGTCAGTACAGCAAAAGTAGCTGACTTTTTATATATAGCAATTCTAATCCTTGCCTTTCCCAGTCATTCTAGTCTCTCAAAAATATATGCAAGTTAAAAAATTATACTTCTGACGTCAAGCCAAAAGGCTAGATTTTATTAACACTTTCTTTAAAACTACTACTGTGTTAGTTAACAATTATAACATTCCTTAATTTAAAGCTACAAGTGTAAGCAACTCAAGATAAAAAAATCTTTACATTTGAACAGCTTTTGAAATAAACATGTTAAAGTATAAAATTTACACTTACATTTCAACTTTTTATAGCACATCTAGCAACCCGTCACTTTTCAGATATCTTGTACAACAAAATGCTTTAACAATCATAACTTTCTGTTCTATTTGCCAAAGGTAACCCTGTACCTAGTTTAAGTAAAATCTTTTATTTAAAAGAATGACATACAACATTTGCACCACTGTCAAAATTTAAGTATTTAAATAAGCAATATTTTAAGTTATGTTATTGCCTTTCAGAGAGGCTTATTTTTGTTTTTATTGTCTCTAAATAAGCATGTAGCACTCGATCATTTGCTTTTTAGACCTGGAGAATAAATCACACAAAACACTAAAACAGCTTTCAGTCAATACATCAACATAGCACAAAACTACTGAAGATTCCATTTAAAGGTTTAAGAAGAGTTCTAACTGAAAAGATAAGCATGTGTTTTCCTGGCATAGGAGATTAATTCATTCAGCAGCAATAGGATGCAGTATTAAGGTATAGAAATGGGATTTTGTTTTGCTTCAAAGGTAAAGTGTCAGATGTTTAAAAAGAAACAAATACCTGTAGAATTCAGATGCAGGTCTCTACAAGCCGAAGCTTCCAGCTCAGATTTAATACACGGAATTTGCATTTTTAAGTTAAGGAACTACTACCATGGCAACAAAATCACAATTTAACATCTTTTAACAAACCAAACAGCACTAAGTGACTTACACATCCATCATGCACATTCAAAGTTGCTTCAAGTTTTAATCTTTGGATAAATTCTCTTCTCCCTGTGAAGAAAAATACTAATTAGATACTCTTTTAAAAACAGTAACACTGCAGATATAATTAAGACCCTGATAATGGGCACTAACAGGTAAAATAATAAATAATAAAGAACCAGAATATAAATGTAAGTCTTGAAACAATTCATACGGTTCTCATTTTACAAACGCTAAGACAAGCATTGCATTTGCTAGGTCTTCCACCATCTTTAACAAGAATGCAGAAACAGTAAGATGAACATTTCACAGGTTCACAGGCAGATGCTTTCTCTAAAACAGCCAGCTATAAAGCAGAAAATAACCCTGTGGGTATTTGGTTAACTTAGCTGAAAGACAGCAAATATAATATAGTTCAAGAAGTAAGACCTTTTGTATAGGACTATAAAGAAGAATGTCTTTAGGTCTTAAGTAGAAAGTAAAACATGGTCTCGTAATTTCAGCAAAGAACGGGAAGTTGATCTTCCAAGCATTATCTGCAACTCTACATCTTCTCTTAAACTAGAGAAAAACTCAACTTTAATTTCGTTATTAATGTTGCATTTTGAAAAGTAACACTGAAGTCCAGTACCATTCCATTTGATACATGCTTAAGGGATAGAACTCAGAGGAAACTTTTGGAAAGGTGACATGAAAGAAAGAGATGAAGGAGAACGAAGAAATCTACAGATGTGTATTGAGTAAGGCAAGGGCCTAGGAACTTTTTGTCCTTATTTCCTATATATGCGCTGACTTACCACCACCACACTTAAAACGACTACTGTACTATACACATGAACAGGGAAAAATAAACATATTGAAATCAATGTGGTCTCTTCCTGAAATAGATGTTTAAACAAATAGCCCCAACTTTCATTTAATTTAGGGTTCCTCCATTTATGAAAACAGGTTATAATGAACCTAATAATCCCTAGAAAGCACTTTCAGAAGAGACAAATACTGATGAACCTAATATTTTTACTTAAATCCTAAAAGCACTTAAACTCAAGGACCATTATTTTTTTTTTTGTCCTGTGTTTGTACAACTGTCAGAACAAAACTCCAGATAAAAGCGTTAGACTGTAGGCCTATGTTATCCTGCACTATTTTCAAATACGAAACCTATCAAATTCACTCAAAATTAACCTTCCTGCCTGCCTTCAAGGAAACTATGGAGTCGGGAAGAACTGCAACAGAACTCTCTCCACATCTGAACACGCTACATTTCTGAACTTGTTTTGGTTCGGCTTAAGGCAGAAACATTTCAGAGCCCAGAGTTGCCTCTGGCACTGTAGCACAAATTTGGAAAACTAATTTCTCATTTCTCCACTTGTTCTCTCCTAATGCCTCTTATTTGTCCCATATACTCTCCAGCACTGAAAAAGCATGCCCAATATCCATACCTGGTCCCTCACAATCACAGACCGCCATAGCACAAGCATCGGACTGAGAAACAGGCACATCCCTGCCGCATTCCCTCAAAGACCAGGAAACCCTTCGAGTAGCACCAACTCCTGCAAGTACTCCTGCGCCTCATTCAATGCTCATACAGCCTTCCCTCCACGAAAAGGTATGGTTTGGTACTAGAACTAGAAGTCACCTCCAAAATTCAAAATCGCTCATAACTCAGCTCAAGTACCACGTTAAATGAAGATCATACTTTGGCAAAATATTTTTTTTTTCTTTTTTAAGAGGAGGTACTGACTGGGTGAAATGGTTAAAAAGTGCTTGCTTTTAAAGCACATCTAAGCTAGCTTTAAGAAGATAAAAACCATACTCTCTTATGCCCCACTTTAAAGACATTGAAATTACGACATCTCAGAAGTAATACAGTTTCTGTTAACCAGGAATAGCCATCATTAGAGATTAAAATAACAAAATCTTATGCACCATCCACTACTAACAAGAATGTATGTATTGTTGAATTGGGAATACATCTACTCAGTTCGCTATTCTTTCTTTACCACTGTTCCTCATCCTTTTTTTTTTTTCCCCTAGAGGACCAGACATTGAACTTAGGTCCTTAGTGGTTGGTTTGTGGTACTTTTCAGTTAAATTGTATTATTTTTTCAAATCACTGAACGATACACCTATTTTCAATGAAGATTCCTATTTTGGGGTTGATTTCTACATTTCTACAATACCTGCTTGTAAGTAAATGTGAATACTGAGATGGGAGATATCATGTGTTGTATGCTTATCTATCACTTTGCATAATAGAAACCTAACAATTTGCTTCTAGGGTGCTATTTTAATGCCAAATACAGCACAATGATACATGACCCCCAACAGAAAAATTTCACTAAGAAAGGTATACTCCGCAGGTCAACACAAAAACCTAGTGTTTGCCAGTCCCATCACATTTTCACTTGCAGAACAGAAAGGTTCGATAGCAGTAGATGATTCTTGGGCATTGATTGCATTATATGCATATAACACATCTGGAAGCAAGGTGATGCCTGCAGACCAACACACAGGCACTTGCTGAGAATCATCTGTACAAAAACATTGAAGGAGATTGCTTTAACTCCTTTTTAAAAACAAGCAGAGCAACAGATTTTCCTCATTCCCATATGGTCTGGTTTTAATCCAAATCAGTTAAATCAGCAAGCAAGAAACAGTAAGTGTGTTCTAATCACATCTCCAATTGCAATTTTTATTTCCTTGAAGAATTCTGTTGACAAAATTAGAGATGAATCGACTTCTTGTTGGATTAGGATTTTTTTGGTCTTAAGAACACAGTAGCTGTACAAGTTTCAGTAAATGTTTAACCTGAGGTACAGACATATGGTGTCTCATATACTTACACTCCCCTATTTAAAATATTTTTTAAAAATTGTTAGGATTGCACAGGCTAGAATGTGATTTGTTATATATATGTGTGTATATATATACACACACACATATATGTATTATCATGTGATCACTATTTGTCTAAATATTTATTTGAGGGAGGAATATAACCAAAACTACAACACTTAAACAGTTTCCTTATTCCTTAAAGTAAAGAGGGGGCAAGGGAGAAAACAGTTAAAATGTTTTGCCTCCAAAAACCATCCTATTTGATAAAGTACTAAACACAGTAAGACAACAGAATGGATTGTTTCCAGTTTATCTTATCATTCAAAACTAGAACCACCAGACCCCAAATAGTCTTCTTCCTAAAATAAAAACCCAGAAATACTCAAATAAACTGATCCAAAGAAAATACTGTCTCTGCATTTGCTGTTGTTAAAAGCGAAGTCAATGAATCTGTGTTCCTTGTACTTCAGCAATGAGTTTCACAAGTTCATTGGTTTGATAAAGCAGCTCAGCAGTACATTAAGTCCTAGAGTTTTCTGATATTTAAGTCACTTGAATATTTTTGTCACTTTCTCATTTTTATCACATTAAAACATTAAAAAGACAATATTGTTTATCTGGTTTATCAGTAGGTTACACTCCTTTTTTTAATTTCAGGTGCATCACAATGCTTATCACTAGACTTTCTAACAGTCAAATTCTCCTCATCGAGGACTCTGCTCTCCTGGGTGACAAGAAGCTTCACAATCCTTAATTCTCATTCACCTAATCCAATGGCTACCTGTTGTCTCCACCTTCCAATGAAGCCAGCCCTCCTGGCTCTCACTTCAGCTAGGATGATGGAGGAGGCCCTGGCTTTTGATAAAACCCCACAGAGTACATTTTTCTTATAAAATCAGCATCAATACCTCTATCAAGTTTTGGGGGTTTTCCTCTTCATACTGTGTACACGCTCTGTAAGAGCCAGAAACCATTTCTTTTTTCCCTGAACTATGCGCCACCAGAAATGGAATAATTTAATTCTGTGAGGATGTGTCAATATATAATTTCTTATATTCAAATAAGGCCTGTTTAAGACAGGGATCAAGTGATCAAGCTGTCATCACCAAGATCACCTCACTGGACAGTGGAACGTACATAAGGTTTGCTTTGAAACTGCTAAGATGAAACTATCAACAATAAAAAATAAAACAAAACAAAAAAGCCCTGTTATTATTATTTCAAATGGCAATGATGACCTCCCCGTGAAGTGTTTATAGAGCTGAAATTTGGAAAGCCATCAAGCTAACGCTCCACCCACTCATTTTCACTAGACATTATGCACTAACCAAAGCCTCAAGGTACAGTGCCACTCTCAGTACAAAGATCAATTCAGTTTTTATCCATCCACTCATTTTCACCAAACATTATGTGCTATTGAAGCCCCAAGGTACAGTGTCACCCTCAAGACAGTGACCGACAATTTTTTTAGCTTATATTAAGCTAGAGACTATAGAATGTAGCCTTGGAAATGGTCCTATGTATGGAAGAAGCGCCAGAGTCATTTATAATATGAATTTAAATATAGAAAAGAAAGAGAAATTGCAGCCGTTTCCTTCAAACTTATTTCTTCAAAAGGTTCCCCTGCACACAATATCAAACCAAACAATGCCTTGGCCCTCCCCCGGAGAGCTCCCTAACTTTGGCATTTGGGCACACATACACAGCTCTAATATCACGTCAGAGAGCAATACCAAAATACCGCAATGTCCCTTGTATTCCCCACTCACAGCAGTTATGATTCCATTTAGATTACAATCCTCAGTTAGGAATTGCTGGTCAGGTGCTTTCTGCGTGGCTATTTTGGCAGAGGTACATGTACCTCTCTTTTGTAAGCGACTTAGTCAATGCTACTTCAGAACTGATGACAGCAGTGAAGTTTAATGCTTCAAGTATGTAAAACCTTCATGTATTTAAAACTGTACTCCAGAATTTCCCATTGAAAAAGTACAGATCCTTTCATGAAGAAGGTCTAGCTTTAAAGCACATTTGTGCTCTACAGCAATATAACTAAACTTTGATCCAAAGTGGCACTACCATGGTATGAGACATTAAAAGACAACCCTTATTCAGAAAACCAGTAATAGATCCTGTTTGTCAAATGAACACTCATTTATGTCAAGCTGGCTCTTTCCAAGGCCAAGTCCCTCAGCACTAGCTTGCTGTGACATTTGGAATGCCCTAGTTTAAAACTGAAACAGAGCCAGCATCTGTTCCCAATGCAGAGCACATGTTATCTTGCACTCTAAGCGCATTTAAAAACTACTCTCCATTTTCCAGGGTAGAGTTTGCATATTTCTGAAGTCACTCCATGAAAAGATGGCAAGTCTGGTTCATTTCTAGATGGGTTATTTTGCTGGATTGACTATGTCAACCTCTGCACAGTGATCCAGTATAACTTTCGATTGATGTCTCAACCGCTGTTTTTCCTCGGCAAATGACTTTCAATATCCTATGCAGCAGCCAGAATTCTCCACAGACCATACAGTAAACAGGACTATACAAAATATGCACTGGATTAACTTTCATCAAGGTATGTTAAAATTCTTGAAGATATTAATTACTATCTTGAAAAACATTTGTTAGCTACATAGACAGACAGTGGCCCCATTTTATAGACACTGGAACTGTGACACAGGAAATTGAACTTATTAAAGGAGAGAGTGAATCAGCAGCAGTGCCAGAAACCAAATCCATTGGTGTGACCTCCAGTCCTTTGATCAAGGCCCTGCATTGTATTTCCTTGTTGTTTTGTACTACTGTATAAATGTCAAAAAATGTTAACTCTTGCTACTGTCAATGTTTAAAAGATTACCTTTCCTGTTACTATGAACAACTACTTCATTATGGTTTAAATTCAAAACAGATAACCCAAATTCTTCTCTGCTCTTAATGATACATCATCAAGACTGAAGGTCTGAACGCTATATAGAAAACACAAAAAATTTTCAATTCTATGAATAGACTTACTTGCCATTTTAATAAACAAGAGCTTTGCTACCAAACACCCAGCCTCAAACAACTTGGTGTTAATCAAACTTGCACTCAGTTCCTAAGATACTCTTCAGAATAAGCCTCATGTATTAAGAAACATAAAACTTTCACGTATTAACACTAAGACAGAAATTGCAGAAAATAGGATGCTATGCCCTGAATTACAATCCAGCAAGCCTACAATATCTCCTGGTGAGTATATTGATACAAAATTGAAACACAAAAAGAGATCTGCTGGGGGGGGGGGGGAGCTTAAAATTTCAGCAGTGTTATCTATTTTAGGGTAATTAATGAGCTTTTGGAAAATACTTTAGGTTTGCTTCTACTGCATCTGCAAGACTAAGTTACCATAGGTAACAGCACAGATAAGATTCCTTTGCATTAGTAGCAATGTCTGTAATTAACTTTCAAACATATTTCAGACTCTAAAGGTATCTACCCCTGAATACAAGCTTCTGTTGGGCTCTATCACTGGTAAGGTTACAAGCATTTGAGCTTTAAATCAATGTGTTTAATTTCTGTTTGATATTTACCATGTTTTAAGCTTGAAAGATACTTAATACATAAAACTCAATTGTATTAATATCAATTTTTAT